GAAGAACTAGGATAAAATTTGGTTCTTTGGAAAGAATTAACAAAATGAATGGCCTTTAGAAACTAAGAAAAAAAAAGAAAGAACAAATCAAGAGTATTAGACACACTTAACTACAGTTAGAGCAAAGATTTAAATGAGCTTATAGACTAGAATTCTGCTTTTGGCCATGATGAAGTAAGAAGTAGACTTGTCTTCCCAAATCAAAAGACTAAGAACTGAAAAAAAAAATACATGAAACAACTATTTTTAGTTATTGGGCAACAGACAGCCCAGAACAGTGATTCTTGAGAAAAGGGAAGCAAATAAATTGAGTCCTGTGAATGCCCTGGCTTCTGACTAGAGGAAACTCCCAGGCCACCGGTGAAGGGAGGAGAAACCCAAACAGAGCTCAGTGGTCTCACTGAGTTTATGAGACAACAATCATGGTCCCAAGAGGCCTTGGTGGATGGAAGGTGTGGGTTAAGTGCCTAGAGGAAACTATGTGGAGAAAGAGCTACAGGAATCTACAGAAAAGTGTTCTTGAGACCTTACTGATTATTAAGCTGCACATGTACAGGGTGAAGTTCCACAAGGATAGGTAAAATGAACAAATATTTGAAAAGTACCCATTTGTAGGGCTCCTACAACTGAGAAAAAAGTTGGGCTGTAAAACGAGGGACAAAGGCCAGGAGTGGTGGCTCAAGCCTGTAATCCCAGCACTTTGGGAGGCTGAGGCGGGTGGATCACAAGGTCAAGAGATTGAGACCATCCTGGTCAACATGGTGAAACCCCGTCTGTACTAAAAATACAAAAAATTAGCTGGGCATGGTGGCGCGTGCCTGTAATCCTAGCTACTCAGGAGGTTGAGGCAGGAGAATTGGCTGAACCCAGGAGGCGGAGCTTGCGGTGAGCTGAGATGGCGCCATTGTACTCCAGCCTGGGTAAAAAGAGTGAAACTCCATCTCAAAAAAAAAAAAAAAAGAAAAAAGAAAAAAAAAAACGAGGGACAAAGTTAAACAGGGTAATAAGTAATCTAGTCCAAAGTCAGGCCAGAATGTAAAACTTGGAAGGGCCTCTAATCTAGACATGAGGGCTAGTGGCAGCATTTGGTAGAGCAGAGCAGAGATGTTAAATATTTTAGACACAGGCTCCATCATAAAGGAAATCAGTACAAGGGAACCAAGGTGGAGACAACAATGGACTCTAGTCCCCCAGCAGGATCCAGGGGATAAAAAGTACTAGCTGTCCAAAGGTACCCACGCCAGGAACTAGTGTTCCTAAAACAAAGCAAGAAACACAGGTGTATCAGTCCGTTCTCACACTGCTGCAAAGATACTACCTGAGGCTGGGCAATTTATAAAAGAAAGAGGTTTAATTGACTCACAGTTCAGATGGCTGGGGATGCCTCAGGAAACTTACAATCATGGAGGAAGGCGAAGAGGAAGTAAGGACCCTCTTCACATGGTGGCAGGAGGGAAAAGTACAAGCAGGGGAAATGCCAGACACTTATAAAACCATCAGATCTCGTGAGAACTCACTCCCTATCACAAGAATAGCATGAGGGAAACTGCCCCCATGATCCAATCATCTCCCTCCCTCAAAATGTGGGGATTACACGTCCCTCCCTCCACATGTGGGGATTTACAATTCTCAATGAGATTTGGGTGGAGACACAAAGCCAAACCATATCAATAGGGCATTTGAGTAGTTTAAGAATTAGATATGTGGAAGTTCAATGGAATATTTGAGAGATCGGGAAAGGCAACTGGTTTATCCTAATCATCAAGGATTATTCATCTGTTGCTGGATGGTGTCTCTTTAGTTCCAAGAGAGAGGTGAGGCATATTTGAAAAAATGACTGGATGATCATTCTGAATACCATAGATACACCAGGAAGAGCACATTAGCCACAGTAAGTTCTCACTGTTCTGCAGATTAACCTAGGGAATTACAAGCCTTCTCAGTGATTGAGAAGGCTTGTAAAACGTAGAGCAGAGCAGATGTTAAATATTTTAGACATAGGCTCCATCATAAAGGAAATCAGTACAAGGGAACCAAGGTGGAGACAACAATGGACTCTAGTCCCCCAGCAGGAGCCAGGGGATAAAAAGTACTAGCTGAGAAGGCCACGTTTTACAAGCCTTCTCAGTCACTGCTTAGCTACGTTAAATCATAGTGAAAGAAAACTACAACCTAGTGATGGCACTGATGTTTATATTATTGAACTGCTTTATTTAAATTCTTTTTTGTTATTCTTTTACTTTTATTTTTTTAAGATGGACTTTTGCTCTTTTTGTCCGGGCTGGAGTGCAATGGTGAGATCTCAGCTCACCACAACCTCCACCTATGGCGTTCAAGCCATTCTCCTGTCTCAGCCTTCAAAGAGCTGGGATTACAGGCATGCGGCCACCACACCTGGCTAATTTGGTATTTTTAGTAGAGATGGTTTTTTTCCATATTGGTCAGGCTGGTCTTGAACTCCAGACCTCAGGTGATCCTCCCACCTCGGCCTCCCAAAGTGATGAGATTACAGGAGTGAGCCACCATGTCCAGTCATGCTTCATTTAAATTCTTAAGTGACATACATGATATATCGTTCGTGACTGAACTCCCAATCTAACACTTGTAAGGCATAAAACATTTCTCTAACCACTGGGACGTCAACATTATTTTACCAAAAAAATCAGAAAAGAAGCTTCTAATACAAATTATGTTCTTAATATACAGGCAGAGAGCTGTTGCTCATAGTCTGTGGAATACCAAACTCCTAATGGGGTTACATTAATGTTTGATTGCAGATTAAAGCCAGTGGATAAAAGTGAAGGTCACTTTAAAGGAGGATAAAGCTACAGTGTTTGTAACCTAGCATAGGTGATTTCAACACTATAGAACTGTGAAGCCTGAAATTCTACAATAGAGAGGGGTATGAAGAAGACATCACAGGATACCAAAGAGTGTTGCAGAGAACCCACAAATAGTCATGAGCACGAGATGGTGAACAACAAATCCATTTTTGGTGTAGGTAAAATCACCAGTGACACCTTTTTCTTTCTTTTGTTCAGCAGTTTGAAGATGTGTCATTCCATTTATTTTTTCAAAGTTTCTGTTTAAAGGACTGCAATTGGTGTTGAAGATAAAGTATATTTTTTTCCTCTGTTAAAAAATGTATTTTGGGGCCGGATGTGGTGGCTCACACCTATAATCCCAGCAATTTGGGAAGACAAGGCAGGCAAATCAAAAGGTCAGGGGTTTGAGACCAGCCTGGCCAACATGGTGAAACCCCATCTCTACTAAAAATACAAAAATTAGCTGGGTGTGGTGGTGCATGCCTGTAGTCCCAGCTACTCGGGAGGCTGAGGCAGGACAATCACTTGAACCCAGGAGGCGAAGTATGCAGTGAGCCTAGACTCTGCCATTGCACTCTAGCCTGGATGACAGAGCAAGACTCCATCTCAAAGAAAAAATAATGTATTTTTGTAATAGGATGAGAGTCAGGGTCTCCCTGTGTCACCCAGGCTAGAATGCAGTGGTGTGATCATAGCTCACTGCAACCTCAAACATCTGAGCTCCAGCCTAAGCCTCCCAAGTAGCTTGGACTACAAGAATGCCAGGTATGGGATGCCCAGCTAAATTTTTCTTTTCCTGTAGAGACAGGGTCCAACTATATTGCCCAGACTGATTTTGAACTACTGACTTCAATGATCCTCCCACCTTGGCCTCTCAAAGTGCTGGGATTATAGGTTGAGCCATCACACCCAGCCTAAAATGTTTTTAATCTTTGGTTTTCATCAGTTTGGCTATGATATACCTATGTATCAATTTCTTTTATTCTACTTAGGTTTCACTTACCTTTTAAATATTTTAAATATTCCTTCTGCTCCCTTCTCTATCCCCACCCCCTCCAATTATAAATATGTTAGATTGCTTGTCTATGCCCACATGTCTCCTTTGTGCCATTCTTTTTCTTCCATGATTTTTTCTATGCTTCAATTTGGATCATTTTTATTGACCTGTCTTCAAATAGATTAACTCTTTCTTTGCTGTGCTGGCCTGTAAAACTCATCCAAAGTGTTCTTAATTTCATATAGTGTCTTTTCATTTCTAGAATGTGCTTTTGATTCTTTCTAGTAGATTCTACCTCTGTTGAATTTCTCTATCTTTTCATGTCTTCCCATGTTTTTTCTATTTTGTTTAACTTATTAATCATAGTTATTCCTAGAGTCCTTGTCAGTTAACTCAAGTATATAAACTATCTGTGGCTTTGCTTGTATTGTCTGCTTTTTCTCTTGGTTATTGGCCATATTTTCCTGCTCCTTCACAAATTTTATAATTTTAATTGCATTCCAAATATTGTATATAAAGAATTCAGAGGTTTCAGATTATGTCATCCTCCATGAAATAGGCAGATCACTTCAACTCAAATAGGGATCTCTTTTTGTCACTGTCCCTCAAGTGTGGCCCTCTAGGCTTTTGGTTAGAGCCTGCTGTATTACTGGCTCTTCGGCTGTTCAGAGTCAGTTCTGCTCTTCAGAGGTTTTGAGTTGAGCTTTTTGCCCTCTGATCCCAGGCAGTTTCAATATTTAACAGATGTCTTGAGGGTAACTGGCCGTGTATTTGTGGCAGGATGCCTCCTCCTAGTGGGACGTTGTCTCCTAAGTACCATGAAATTGGGATATTTCATTCTGCCTCTCTGGCCAAGTCTCCCAGCCTCCTGTATCACTGAAGCATCAGCATATGCTCCTATGTGTTCAGTTCTAACTAGTTTACACTATATTAAGCCAGCCCGATGCAAACACCGAGTCCCGCCTCCTAGCCCAGCATGATTCTTAGCCTTCACTCAGAACTAACAAATATCTCCTGGGAGGAAAATGGCCAGAGATAGTCAGCTCCCTTAGGAAGTACTCCCCTCTCTCTGAAATGTTAGTTCATATAGGATTCATTGTTTCCATAACTCTCTCACTAAGGTCTCTCATTAAATCTTTTGCACTATAATTTTGGTAACTTATCTTTCTTTTCCTTAGGTGTTGCAGCAAGAGCACTGGTCTGCCATGACCTGCTGCATTCTACCTGGAAGTACAAGTCAAAAGTCAGCCTGTCATACTTTTTCGAAAGATGACTTGTCAAAATGAGACTTCATTCATAAAATCAGTCTGGCTGGACACAGTGGCTCATGCCTGTAATCCTAGCACCTTGGGAGGCTGAGGTAGGTGGATAGCTTGAGCCCAGAAGTTTGAGACCAGCCCGGGCAACATGGCAAAACCCCACCTCTACAAAAAATACAAAAATTACCCAGATGTAGTGTCACACACCTGTGGTCCCAGGTACTAGGGAGACTGAGATAGGAGGATCACCTGAGCCCAGAAGATTGACTGCCCTGAGCCAGGATTGGGCCACTGCACTTCAGTTTGGAGGAGAGAGTGAAACTCTGTCTCAAAACAAACAAACAAAACCTCTCAATCTGTCCAAATAGGCAGATTGTCTTCCATAATCTTCCACCATGGTCTTCCTTTGTGAAGTTTCTACTACTACTCTGATGCTACACGATTAAGGAATATCGTTGTCACTGTCTTTCTAAATTTGTTGTTCAATACTTCCTTTCCCCCTCATTCATCATCCAGACATACATTTTAATAATATCAAACTCCTTGTAGTTCCCCTAAATAAATCATGTTGTTTCCCTCACCTGAAGTGCCCATTCCTTTTTTAATTTTCATCACTAACTCCTCTCATCTTTCCAGAGAGTTCTACCAGGAGTGTTCTTGTCCCTCCTATTATTTTTTTCTCCAGCTCCACTCACTGTTCGGTGTCACCCCATCTTGTGGACTACACTGTGTTAAAAAGATTAGTTTACTGATTTGATTCTTCCCTCCGCTACACCCCCTGTCACATAAAATGGGCCCCTAAAAGCAGAAATGTTGCCTCACTGGTCTCTAGCACCCAGTGGAGTATTTGGTGTGAACGTCAGTGGAACTGTACTCTCTCCAGTGTGCATTTTGTTCCAGGAAGACTAGCTAATAGCAGGACCATTAGAAGCCTCATCTTCAGGCTATTTGACATTGATTTTTTTAAAACACATTTCCTGAGGTCTCACTCGTGCCAGAATATGAAAAAAATAATCATTCTTCTCTGACTAAAGTGGAATCACCAGTGATTTATTCTTTCCTTAATCAGTAATATTAGCTAACATTTATGTAGCCATCGTGAGGTCCCAACCACTTTAAACATATCATCTTATTTCATATCTATAACCACCTTCAGAGATAGACACTGTTGTTACCCTCCAGTTTACAGAGGGTAATCTAAAGCGCAGGGAGGTTAAGTAAGTGGCAAGCTAGAATCTGGATACAGGTTGTCTGGTTCCAGGGACTGGGCAGGTAGTCACTAGGCTATGCGGCATGACTTCTTGCTTTTCTTGCCCTTTTTTCTTAAACGTTTAATTACATGAGTAGTATATCAATACATTTAAGTTGTCAAAAATTCTGAAACAAAGCAAAAGCTCACTACTATTTGATGGGGATCATTCTAGATCTTTTTCTTTATGTACATATATACATTATGTGTATGTACATATACACAAAGAAATATATTTTTTATGTAAATGGATTATGCTTTTTCTATAGATTTGTTTTCATTTAACAATTTATCTTAAAGGTCTTTTCACATTGATGCATATAGGTCTATTTTATTCTTTGGATGCTGCATACTATGGATATATTCCATAGCATGGGTGTAATATAATTTAGGGAACCATTTTCCTTTTGCCAGTCATTTATGTTGTTGCTGATTTCACTGTTACAAACCAGGCTGCACTAAATATCCTTAAGCGTGTCTCTTCACATTTGTGCAAATATATGCCTAGGAAAGATCCTTAGAAATAGTCATTAGGATGAAGTTTGTGTTGATTTTTTTTTAATGGTGACTCACATCCTGCCTTCCAGTGAGCCTGTGTCTTTTATTCTTTCATCATTCACATATTAAAAGGGTTGTGTACACTTGGTTGAATTTATGGCAGAGTAAAAAATAATAATAAAGTAAATAAAAGGGCTGTGGCTGGAGGTGTTCCAGGAAATCAACTCTATATAAGGAAAGCCAACGCCTTCTCTCTTCTGTACCTCATCTTTAGGAAAGAGCAATTTTGATGTGAGTTGCAGAATAAACAGGGTCCTAGAGAACATACAGTGGGATTCCCGAAAAAGAAGGTGGCAGGCAAGTGGAAAGTGAATCTGTGGGGAAAAAAAATCAAGTGAGTCTATCCAAAGACAAAATTACAACTCATTTAGGTAAATATCTTAATAGGCTTTTATCAGTGATTCTAGAATCGGGCAACAACTCAATCTGTAAATGAGCTGAACAGAGAAGGTTGGCTTTATAGGCAGAAAGGGCTGGGGAAGCAGACCCAGAGAACAAAAAGTGGATTGGTCATTTTGAAGTTGCTTTCCTTCTAAAGGTTAAAGCAGAAAGGACTTCCTTATCATGCCAGGTAAAACTGGTCTGTTTGGGGATTTGGTGCTCTCTCTCTCTATCTCTCTCTGATTCCTTGGAAGGTCAGATCAACAACTTAGCTTTGGTTTGGTGATGTGAAACTTCAGCAGGAGTGATTCCATTTTGCTTCAGTCTGTTGGGCCCAGTGTGAGAGCTCAATACAAACCAATGGCCTCATAGAAATTTTGCTTCACAGGTCAAAGCTTTCTTACTTCTCTTAAGCTGTTCTTTTTCTATATATTTTGACTGCATGGTAAAACAAGGCCTAGGAGTGAGCTCTTACCCCTGAATGACCACAGTGGACAGGGTGGGTCAAGGTTAAAGTTCAGGAAAATTTTGTTCTAGGTCCTTAAGGAAGACAAAGAGACTGGAAAGAGTGGGGCTACAGGTTTGGATGAAAGTAGAAAGCAATTGCCTGGAAGGTCCCTTGTGGATACATCCTCAAGGCTACAGAAAGGTTACTGCTCCTGAGAAACAACCAAGTATTTGAACAAATTTCTTGCCTTTAATGGTTTTAAAATTTGATGTATTAATGTTATTTAAATGTTATATTGCTTACGTGTACTCGTCTTAGAATTGTAAAGTGATGCTACTCCCTAAATCACCCCTACATAAAAAAACATAATGGGCTGGGCGCAGTGGCTCACGTCTGTAATCCCAGCATTTTGGGAGGCCTAGGCGGACAGATCACTTGAGCTCAGGACTTCAAGACCAGCCTGGGCAACATGGTGAAACCCCGTCTCTACCAAAAATACAAAAATTAGCTGGACATGGTGGTACGTGTCTGTGGTCCCAGCTACTTGGGAGGGTAATGCAGGAGGATTGCTTGATCCCAGGAGTGGAGGTTGCAGTGAGCCAAGATCACGCCGCTGTACTCCAGCCTGGGTGACAGAGTGAGACCCGGTCTCAAAAGAAAAAGAAAAAGAAAAAAACATATATATGTGTTTGTGTGTGTGTATGTATATAGGTGTGTGTTTATATGTCTGTATATATGTGTATATATGTGTGTGTGTGTGTGTGTGTGTATATATATATATAATGCACCAAACTTCTACTTGCCCTAGGTGCTTTAATAATTGAAAAGCTCTATTTTTAATATAATATTACAGTTGCAGAACTTTCTGATATCAAACTAAGTGACTAAATTTAGAAGCATATAACCAGAGCCTTGTTAGCATCACAGTCTGACCAATTAAATCACCAAAATCTAAACATGCTCTTTCTACATCTGTTTGATCAGGAAAAACAAGAGGCACTTGTGGTCTAATAGTTTTCTTAGTGCTCTTGTCTTTTATCCTATTTGGATCACCATAAATGTTTCAGTTTCTACCAGCAATATTCACTCCTTCCTTTACCAGTACATTCTTAATAAACCAAAGCACAAAAACTAGGGATGTCCTGCTTAATTCAGCTCACCCATCTGTGAAACTAGGAAGTGAGAATATCCTGAGCTTGAACACAGTCACCTTCAGGACACAAGTCTTTATTTAGGAACTATGGAATGTTATAAATAAAATTAAATTGAAAAATAGTAGCAAAAAAAAATTCTTTAACATACACCCTGCACCAGGCCTCATGCTAAGAACTTTTTAATACTTGTTCATTATTCATTCCTATTAGATAAATCCTTAGAAATACAGATTCATTTATTCAGTCAATCAGGAAATAAACAAGGGGCTAGAATAAAGAACAATGGAAAGGGTAAATTTACATTGATTTCGTAATAAAAGGAACAACACAAGGAACTACCCACAGGAGGAGCAAAGAAAAGATCATTTCAGACTCGGTATGTACATACAAAAGCTATATGTGGGGTGCAGGGGAAGCCTGGCATGTTCAGAGACTAGGAAGCCAAAGTCTTGAACAGATCATACATGAGCTTAAATAATCACACTTCAAAAGTTGGAGAGAGGTAAGCAGAGACCAGTTCAAAAACCTGAAAAAATTTTTTAAACTAAATGCAATGAAAGGTCATTTAAAGACTTTAAGAAGACAATATCTATTTAACAAACCTCATATCTGCACATGTATCCCAGAACTTAAAGCATAATAAAATTTAAAAAGCTTTAATGAATAAAAGAGCTATTTAAGAAACTTAAAAAGAAGACTTTTAAGCAGACAAATGGTGTGATCTCCATGTTATGATCACTTTTTACTGCTACATGGAGAATGGATTTGAGGGGAAGAAGAATCGAAGTTCAGAGATCAGTTTGGAGCTGTTACAGTAATTGAGCTGAAAGATGATGGTGGCCCAAAATATGATGGGAATAAAACTGAAGAAAAAAAATTAGAGGAACAAGCTATTTTGGAGGTAGAATTGACAGGATTTGCTGATGGATTAGACATGAAGTTGAGGAACAGGGATGAACCATGGATGATGCTTAGGTTTCTGGCTTCAGTGATCGAGTACATTGTGGTTGCGTTTGCTGAAATGGAGAATGTTGGGATGGGGAAGACCAGAAAGGGAAAGGTTTGGCCGGTTGTGGTGGTTCACACCTCACACATCACAACACTTTGGGAGGCTGACACAGGTGGATCACTTGATGTCAGATGTTCAAGACCAGCCTGGCCAACATGGTGAAATCCCGTCTCTACTAAGAACACAAAAATTAGCTGGGTGTGGTGGCAGGTGTCTGTAATCCCAGCTACTTGGGAGCTTAGGCATAAGAATCACTTGAACCCGGGAGGGAGAGGTTGCAGTGAGCTGAGATTGCACTCCAGCCAGGGTGACAGAGTGAGACTCTACCACACACACACACACACACACACACACACACACACATACAAAGTGAAAGGTTTTATGGAACTAAGTTTTGTCAGTGAGTTTGAGAGGTCTGCTGTAAGACCCCCAGTACAAATTTAAATGAGTGGTTCCATGTTTGAGTTTGAATCTTAGAGAAGAGGTCTGGGCTGCAGATACAGATCCAAAATTGATCCACATAGTGGTAGTATTTGAATACATAGAAACTAGTGTGATCATTTATGGAGCTAGGGCATGAAAGGAAGAAGAATGCTAACATGTAATGGTGGGATAGGGGAGCTAAGATGGAAAGAAAACCGGGGGGGGCGGGTATTGAATAAACAGCAAAAATAGCATCCTATGAAGGAGAAAATGTTCCCCTATATCTCTTGGTGTCAGGTAAATGTTTAGCATGTGGCTATCAGGAAAAAAAAAGGCCCTGATTTATAGCATTTGCTGATTTTTGTGGTGTAAATACTGTCACTGTGGCTAATAATTTCAAGCCACCAACACTCCTTCACTGAACTTGGAAAGAAATGTCTGCAATTAGCTATCCAGTATCACTTCTGCAGCGTGCCAGGGCAACACAGCTGCTGAGAGGGAGCGTAAGATAAAGAAGGAAAATGTGCACTGAACTTGGCAACACTCAGGCCATTAGTGACCTTCATGAGAGTCATTTCTGGACAATAGGGACAGAAGATTATAGTAGGTAGAGGAGTGCAATGAGGGTAAGAAAGGACAATACACACTTTTCTAAAGAAATGGATGGGCCAGGCACGGTAGCTCATGCCTATAATCCCAGCACTTTGGGAGGCAGAGGTGGGCTGATCACTTGAGGTCAGGAGTTTGAAACCAGCTGGGACAACATGGTGAAAGCCCGTCTCTACTAAAAATACAAAAAAGGGAGCCAGGTATGGTGGCAGGTGCCTGTAATCCCAGCTATTCAGGAGGCTGAGGCAGGAGAATTGGTTGAACTTGGGAGGCAGAGGTTGCAGAGAACTGAGATTGTGCCACTGTACTCCAGTGTGGGCAACAGCAGGAGAAAGGGAAGGAAAGGAAGAGAGAAAGAAGAAAGAAGGGAGGGAAGGAGGGGGGGAAAGAAAGGAAGGAAGGAAAGGAAGGAAGAAAGGAGATAAGGAAGGAAGGGAGGGAGAAAGAAAAGAAAGAAAGAAAGAGAGGAAGGAAGGAAGGAAGGGAAGGGAGGGAGGGTGGGAGGAAGAAAGGAAGGAAGGGAGGGAGGGAGGGAGAGAGGGAGGGAGGGAGGAAGGGATGGTAACTGGAGGGGAAGGTAAGTCAAAATTTAAAATAAACTCATTGAGTTAAGAGGCTTACTGCAAGGTGCCCTGAATAAGTGGAGAGGGTAGAATTTGAACCCAGATTTGTCTGATTCCAAAGCTTATGCCTTATGATGGGTTTCCTGAACCACAGAGAAGAAAGAATTTTGTAAGCTGCCTAAACATCGAATTGCAGATGATTTTTCTATTGACACTTTTCTGTGTTTTCTAATTGTTTCGTTGAGACTCATTTACTTTCATATTCATAAAAATCAATAGATTTTGTACTTGCAGAGTAAGTGCTGGAATACAGCTAAATGTTAGGAAGCCATTACTTAGCCAACTTCAGCAGAAATATTAACATAAACAGTGCCACCCCATACAAAGTTTTTTTTCAGATTAATATTTAAACTTCCATTCTATTTTACAGTTTATAAATCAACACACATTAAAATGTCTGTGAACTAAAATACCTAAAGGTGCCACCTTCGAAACTCATGTTCATAGATTCTAATTCTAAGGTGGCTTCTCAACATCAGCTAAGGGAAGGCACTGTGTCCTGTGTTTTGTGTAGCGCTGAGTACACTGTCTGTCACAGCTCAAAAGGTAATAAATAATGGTAGAAAGTGATGTAACTTCCTTTTCAAAAAATTCAAGTATCTTGTATTGAAATTCCAAAGGAATTAGAATTATTCTTCTCTAGACTATAGTATATAATAATGGAACAAGTTACTTAAAGACTTTATTGGATCTCATGGGGATATTTCTCCTTTTACTTTGTAAGAAAACAAATCTCTATGATAAGAACAAGCATTCTTAGTATAATGGGTAGGGGGGCATGGGTGTAGATGTAAGAGATAACGGAGTTCCTAATTTCACATAATTCTATATTATTCATGTATAAATACAATTATAAGGTTACAGTTGTATTTTTGGATTAAATTTAAAATTATTATAATAATAGTTTTGAGTGAATACAAAATCTCATACTAATGGAAATAGTTTTCTGGTTTGTTTTTGTTTTTTAGTTTTGAAATGAAGTCTTGCTCTGTTGCCCAGGCTAGAGTGCAGCGGCATGATCTCGGCTCACTGCAACCTCCACCTCCGCGGTTCAAGCCATTCTCTTGCCTCAGCTTCCCGAGTAGCTGGGATTACAGGTGCCTTTCACCATGCCCGGATAATTTTTGTATTTTTAGTAGAGATGGGGTTTCACTGTGTTGGCCAGGCTGGTCTTGAACTCCTGACCTCAGGTGATCCACCTGCCTTGGCCTCCCAAAGTGCTGGGATTACAGGCATGGGCCACTGCACCTGTCTGGAAATAGTTTTTTAAGAGCATCAATATAATTATGTCTTATTCTTCTTAACACCTGCATCTAGTACAATTACATTTAGTTTTTTTTAAAGAGATTGATTGCTATTTGAAAAAGAGAGAAAGGTATATTATTTGCAGATCATTTAATTGTCTATTGGAAAATCCAAGAGTATTTACGGTAATACTACTTGAACTAATAGAGTATGGTCTGAAGCAAAAATAAACATACAAAAATCAATAGCTATGTACATGGCAGAAGTCTGTTAGAAAACATGAGGAGAAAAGACCCCATTTATAATATCACGAAAAGCCACAAAATACCTCAAAATATCCTTAGAAGTATAAAAGGACTACACTTCACCAGCATTAGACATCCAGATTTGAATATTTGATGGTAAGTTGTATAAAAGATGAGGACTGAATTATATTTAGTTTTGAGCACCCTCAAATTTATTTTTATTTTTTGTAAACTTCATTTATATAATTTTAAGAGCCATATTAATAGAGGGATTAAAAAGTATTAAACTCGTAGAGTTAATATTATTGTCGGAACTCCTTTAAAATTATTTGATAAGACTGCCACCTACAGGTGGCAAGAAAAGCAAAGTGACTGAAATGTATTTACCTCTTACTATGCATCAAGCATTACATTAAGAAACCTAGGCTGGGCGTAGTGGCTCATGCCTGCAATCCCAGCACTTTGGGAGGCTCAGGCAGGCAGATCACCTGAGGTCAGGAGCTCAAGACCAGCCTCACCAACATGGTGAAACTCCATCTCTACTAAAAATACAAAAATTAGCCCGGCGTGGTGGCATGTGCCTGTAATCCCAGCTACTTGGAGCCTGAAGCAAAAGAATCCTGGAACCCGTGAGATGGAGGTTGCAGTGAGATGAGATTGCACCACCACACTCTAGCCTGGGCAATAGAGTGGGACTCTGTCTCAAAAAAACAAAAGAGAAAAAAAGAAAAGAAAGAAAGAAGCCTAGTAAGGTTGCCAGATAAAATACAGGAGGCTCACATGAAACTGAAAACAACCAAAACTTTTCAGTATAAGTATGTACCAAATATTGCATAGGATACACCAATACTAAAAAAAATATTGTTTATCTGAAATTCAAATTTAACTGGGCATTCTGTAGTTTTATTTGCTAAATATAGCAGCCCTTAAAAATGCAGATAATGACCAGGTGTGGTGGCTCACACCTATAATCCCAGCATTTTGGGAGGCTGAGATGGGCAGATCATGAAGTCAGGAGTTCTAGACCAGCCTACTAATATGGTAAAACCCCATCTCTACTAAAAATACAAAAATTAGCCAGGTATGATGGGCGTGTTGGTAGTCCCAGCTACTCAGGAGGCTGAGGCAGAAGAATCACTTAAACCTGGGAAGTGGAGGCTGCAGTGAGCCAAGATCACACTACTGCATTCCAACCCGGGCAACAGAGTGAGAATACATCTAAAAAAAAAAAATGCAGATAATGATGTTGATCATACTCTGCTGCTTAAAACCTTTCGATGGCCTCTATGTCTCAGGAGAGGGTCCAAGCATCCTGATAGGCATGTACGACCATTCATGTCTGTGCTCCCATCTTGCTCCTTACTGCCTTAGCATGTGCTTCCCATTGCTGTCAAAATCTTTTTAAAAAATATTTTATAACTTTTACTTTAGACTTGGGGTACTTGTACAGGATTGTTCCATAGGTAAACTTGTGAACTAATTTACACTCCCACCGGAAGTGTATAAGTGTTCCCTTTTCTCCACAACCTCATCAGCCTCTGTTATTTTTTTACTTTATAACAATAGCCATTCTGACTGGTATGAGATGATATCTCATTGTAGTATTGATTTACATTTCTCCAATGATTATGACATTGAGCATTTTTTTATATGCTTGTTGGTCGCATGTATATCTTCTTTTGAATAGAGTCTGTTCATGCCCTATGTCCACTTTTTAAAAGGGTTGTTTGTTTTTTGCTTGTATGTTTGTTTAAGATTCTTTTTTTTGGAGACAGAGTCTCACTCCATCCCCCTGGCTGGAGTGCAGTGGTGTGATCTCACCTTACTGCAACCTCCACCTCCTGAGTTCGAGTGATTCTCATGCCTCAGCTTCCCGAGTAGCTAGGCTTACAGGCGCATGCCACCACACCTGGCTAAATTTTTGTATTTTGGTAGAGATGGGGATTTGCCATGTTGGCCAGGCTAGTCTTGAACTCCTGACCTCAGGTGATCCGCCTGCTTTGGTCTTCCAAATTGCAGGGATTACAGGCATGACCCACTGGCCTGGCCTCAAGTTTCTTGCATATTCTGGATATTAGATCTTTGTTAGATGTATACTTGCAAATACTTTCTCCAGACATCAAAATCTTTCTTTTGCTTAGGTGGTTTGTTTGGCCTGAAATATAGAGGTTCCTATATGTCTGTCTTTTAATGTTGTTCATGATAATTTTAATACTTAATCACATCTTTCCTTTGGACTTTTAAAGTGAATGTCAAAATTATAGAAGCAGACTGTGATTAATTAATACATTACTTCAAGAAGAAAAAATTAGTGAGAACACACAACTTATATAAAAACATTATCTTTGAAAGACATTGGAAAATATTTTATTTCCTGTTTACTTTGTGTTCTTGTGTAAATATCAAAGAGAAAAACCCTAGTGAATTTAATTGCGTGCCTATGTGTTTCTCTGGCTATATAATTTTCAAGACCCTATGGAATATGAAAATATAAAGCCTCTTGTTCAAAAATTACTAAAAATTTCAACATGGTAACAGAACAGCATTAATCTAAGTGTGGACTCTTCTGAGTGCAGGGCCCTGGCTTCACGGGTCACATTTCCCATGAATCATTTTATTTTTCTCCCCAACTTAATAGGTTCAGAATTGAGGTTTCTCTAAGGGAAATTCCTTTTCATTTACACTAGAAGTATGTGAATGATTTAAAATTCATGGTGTTGAGATCTTGCTAAATGGACTTACCAAAGAAGAATAAAATAAAGCTTGTAACAATGTGGACTTGGGCTGGGCACGGTGGCTCACACCTGTAATCCTAGAACTTCGGGAGGCTGAGGCAGGTGGATCACCTGAGGTCAGGATCACGAGATCAGCCTGCCCAATATGGTGAACCCCATCTCTACTAAAATTACAAAAATTAGCTGCATGTGGTGGTGGGCACCTGTAATCCCAGCTACTTGGGAGGCCGAAGCAGAAGAATGGCTTGAACCCAGGAGGCAGATGTTGCAGTGAGCCAAGATTACGCCACTGCACTCCAGCCTGGGCGACAGAGCAAGACTCTATCTCAAAAAGTAATAATAATAAAATAAAATAAAAAAGAATGTGGACTTTGCAGTCAATTCAAAGACTGACTTCATGGCTGCCTTCAAAGACTCAAGGGTTGGCTTCAGGGACACACAAACACCCTCAAATTGTAATTAACATTGTGTGTGTGTATTTATATATGCCTTTTTCAGGGAAGAACTTTTATCTGATTCTCAAAGGAATTAGTAATCCCAAAAAGCTCAAGAACCACTGTTCTATGACATTATTTATCCTTTTTTTAAAAAAAGAAACCTCTGGCAAATCATGATGTGCTTTAATTTTATTTATTCATTTATTTATTTTACAGATGGGGTGTCACTCTGTCTCCCAGGCTGTAGAGTAGTGGTGTGATCATAGCTCACTGCAGCCTCGAACTCCTGGGCTAAACCGCTCTTGCCACATAAGCCTCTCGAGTACCCAGAACTACAGGTCTGTGCCACTGCACAGGGCTACTTTAAAAAACATTTTTTTTTTTTTTTTTTTGGTAGAGACAGGGTCTTGCTTTATTGCCCAGGCTTATTGTCTGCTTTTAAAGGCCCCTGCTGCTGGCTGGTTTAAAAACTTTAAATACAAGGAGTTGTGCAGATTTTTAAAATTATTCTTATTTCAATATATAAAAAGGAAAAACCATGAAAAGAGAAATATAGGAATAAACACATTAAGAAACCCAATCAGAGAAGTGAAATCTAAAAGGAATCCTTACACTCCAGCTGCTACCATCAGAAAATTTGAGAGATCATAAAATTGACCTTTCATTGCAGTCTGCCTTATGTAATCACGTAATTAATAATATTATAATATTTATTAGGCACTTATCATGTGCCTGGCACTGTCTCAATAATCATTTACCACTCTTAACTTACTTAATCCTCTTGACAATTCTATAATCCCCACTGTAGAAATGAGGAATCAGAAGCAAATAGAGGTGAAGAATTTTGGCTGGGCACAGTGGCTCATACCTGTAATCTCAACATTTCGGGAGGCCAAGACTGACAAATTGCTTGAGTTCAGGAGCTCAAGACGAGCCTGGGCAACAAAGTGAGACCGCATCTCTACAAAGAAGACAAAAATTAGCTGGATGTGATGGCACGTGCCTGTTGTCCCAACTACTTGGGAAGCTGAGGTGAGAGGATGGCTTGAGCCTTGGAGGGAGAGGTTGCAGTGAGCCAAGATCACACCATTGTACTCTAGCCTGGGTGACAGAGCCAGAACCTGTCACACACAAAAAAGAATCTTGCCCAAGGACACAGAGTAAATAATGGAGACAGGTTTTGAATTGGTCACAAAGTTAATATTCTTATAAGCTTTATTTCCTTCTTAATTATTAGTAGGTCCATTTAGCAAGATACATCAGATAGCTTTCACTTAATAGATATCAAGAATAAAGACGTAGAATAAAGAACAGAGAATTCATCCTTCCAGACAACGTTTTCCCTTGGCTTCCTGGACACCACTGCTCTGTGGTTCTCCCTACCTCGTACTGGCTGCTCCTTCTTCTGTCTTTCTGTGGGATTCTCCTCTTCTCCCTCTCAGGCCTTGATCCTCTTCTTCCCTCCATCCATGGACACTGCTTGGGTAAACTAATCCAATCCCATAACTATAAATACTGTCCATATGTTAATGATTTTCAGATTTGTATTTCCAGCTTGGACCTCTCCCTTGAATCCAGATTCTATATTCAGCTACTTTCTCAATGTCTCCATGTGGAGATCTGATATAATTTGGATCTGTGTTCCTACCCAAATTTCATGTTGAAATGTAATCCCCAGATGGGTGCAATGGCTCGTGCTTGTAATCCCAGCACTTTGGGAGGCCAAGGCAGGAAGATCACCTGAGGTCTGTAATTCAAGACCAGCCTGCTCAACATGGTGAAATCCCATCTCTACTAAAAATACAAAAATTAGCCAGGCATGGTGGCACACACCTGTAATCCCAGCTACTTGGGAGGCTACTTAGGTTTCTGAAAAATTAGACACAACTTTTCTGAGGTTTCTGAAAAATGAGTACATTCAGTAGTTGAGGATACATATTTGTGTTTTGTGGGGAATTTCTTGGTGCTGGTGTTTTTAAATGCTGAAATTTTGTAAAATAAAATTAAAACGACACACTAATCACTAACCTTTTTAATATAAAGTAGTACTTTATCTAAAGCAAGGTTGACCCACAGTTAATTAGCTGGATCATAGCCAGGAAAGTGCCAGAATGTCAAGGAAGTGAAAATTGTCTTTCTATGACTCTCAGGAGTTTAAGTAAAACCAGGGAATAGCTTACATCTATTTTTTCAAGTATAGTGAGAAAAAAAATACAGAAAAACATTCAAGAATCTCCCTAATGCTGAGAATATATGACAGCAAATTAACTTCCTGACTGTAATGAGGAATAATTGGACATATATCTGAATTTTTGTGAGATTTAATGAGACTGGAACCTTGAATGCACTTGAGATTAATTTTTTAAAAATTCTATGTTCTAGCGAAATTTAAACCTAACCTCTCACTTTTCTAGTTATGTTTTTAAGGAAGAAAAAAATAAAAATATTGTATAATCACATTTTTAAAAAACGAGACCCAGATTATAAATCAAAGGGTCACACAAATGTTCTCTGGCCTAATAGTCACATGTATACAAATGGTAGAGTCTATGGCATACAAACAGAAGATACAAAGTGCCTTTTGGCAATCTGCCCTCCTGTGAATATTGCATTTAAGGGAATAGGCAGAATGCAGACACTAGACCCTGTCATGAATTCACCACACAGGAAGGTCAGACTTACATGGAAGAGTTTAAATGAGATTAACTAATACCAGCTCCACTATGTCATTCTTGTCAAGCAGTCAAAAGAAGGCAATTAGAAATTACACTTCTGGGCTGGGCACATTAGCTCACACCTGTAATCCCAGCACTTTGGGAGGCCAAGGCAGGTGGATCATCTGAGGTCAGGAGTTCAAGATCAGCCTGGCCAAAATGGTGAAAATCTGTCTCTACTAAAAATATAAAAAAATTGGCCAGGCATGGTGGCACGCACCTGTAGTCCCAACTACTTGGGAGCCTGAGGCAGGAGAATCGCTTGAACCTGGGAGGAGGAGGTTGCAGTGAGCTGAGATCACGCCACTGCACTCCAGCCTGGGCGACAAGAGTGAGACTCCATCTCAAAAGAAAATAAAAAGAAATTACTTTCTGGTTTTACCACTTGGCTGTTGTACAATCCTGAATTAATCCTCTCAATTCTTCTAGAAATTGTGGCAAAAAGATGTAAGCCTGCTTTAGAAATACTTATGTATATGTATTGTATCCCTATACAATATGATAGGGATGAGGAAATTACTTACCTTACTAAATATTACTCCCTATTCCATGAGGAAGCATGTCCCAATTTTCATTTTATTTTGCCTACAAAAAAGCAAAACTATGATCAATTCAATATTTTCATATTATTTTCAGTTATGACCACCTCCTGAGTTTATGGGCATGCACTACAAAAGGAGGCCTAGATATCCTCAGATATGTGAGATCTTACAGAGCCTTGAGAGTCAGGAGCCCTGTGTTCTCACTTCATTTTGGCCACTAACCAGCTTTGTGACTGGATAAGCTTCAAAATTTTTCTGTATTATTTATCTATTGCTGCTTAACAAATTACCCCAAGCATACAGGCTAAAAACGACAAACATATTATCTCACAGTTTCTGTGGGTTAGAAATTCAGGAGTAGCGTAACAGGTCCCAGAGGGCTCAGGGATTCTCAAGAGGTTATGATAAAGACGTCAGCTGGAACTGCTGTCATCTGAAGGCTTGACTGGGGTAGGGGGATCTGCTTCTAAGCTCACTCATATAGTTGCTGGCAAGACGCTTCAGTTCCTTGCCATGTGGGTCTCTCCAAGGTTGTTCATGATATGGCAGCTGGCTTCCCCCAGAGTGATGACCTAAGAGCAAGAGGGCAACTGGACAGGAGTGAACAGTAGCCTTTAAACCTAATCTCAGACATAACATACTTCCGCTGTATTCTACTTTTCACATAAACTGACCCTGGTACACTGCAGGAGGGTACTACACAAGGGTATAGAATATCATAAAGAGGGGATCACTGGGGGATATCTTGGAGGCTGGCTACTGCTCTCTGACCCATCTCTTTATCCATAGAGTGAGATCTTTGAACTACATGATCTTTGAGTTTGGGAAACTCCTCTCTCCCCAGTGCTACTCCCAGACCTTGATTTTCTACTCTCATGTCAAAATTCCTACTCCTTTTAGCTTTAAGCCATTTGGCAATACCAACCTCTACCCCACCTTGTTGCTGTTATTTGTAGACTTCTGGGCCATGGGACAGTTGTTCTCCTCACTCCAAGTCCTGCCATCACTCTAGGACTTCCATGTACTCATGGGTGACCCATCCCAAACCATGAACTTTCAGGTCCTTGACCTTCTCACCTTTGATGCTTTTCCCATCCACTCCATTTCAGCACCCATCACCCACATCAACACCCTAAATTTGTCATCACCAAAACTGTTTAACTTCATAAACAACAAATCCAATCATCTCAACTCTCTCACTGTAACTTCCTATTCTTCCAATTCTCTCATCAACTATTCCCAAGAGATAGGTCACCAGACCTTGTTGGAACCTCCAAGAAATTGTCACATCTACTTTCTCCATATCACTCCCTCCTGTCTTCATTTCCACTTCATATCAGATTTTAAAGTCCATTCCTTGAGCCACTTTCTGAAGAGATTCCTCAACTCCTTTAACTCATAGTCCTTTCTTCACACCTGAATGGAAAAACCTTAGTTTTGATTGATTTCTAATGACTACCTTTCTATTACCCACAACCAGGTTACCAAAGGTTGCTGGAGAAAATCACATAGCAGTATAGATTGGATACATGGTAATCAAATTCCAAAGCTGCCCACCAGTTTCACAGTCAATGTTTCCCTAGGTAGCACTCCAGTCTGGGCAACAAGAGCAAGACTCCATCACAAAAAAAGAAAAAAGAATAAAGGAAAGGAAGGGAAAGGGAGGGAAGGGGAGGGGAGGGGAGGGGAGGGAAGGGGAGGGGAAGGGAGGGGAGGGAAAGGGAAATCCATAAAACTTTTGACTCTCCCAAAACTAACTACTAATAGCCTACTGTTGACTGAAAGCCTTACCAATAATAGTCAATTAACACATTTTCTATGGTATGCATTATATATGGTATTATTATAATAAAGTAAGGCAGAGAAAAGAAAATATTATTTAGAAAAGTATGCCAGGCCCAGTGGTTCATGTCTGTAATCCCAGCACTTTGGGAAGCCAAGGCAGGAGGATCACTTGACAACGGGAGTTCAAGACCAGCCTGGGCAACATACCAAAATGCTGTCTCTATTAAAAACATTTTTTTCAAACCAAGATCGTCATATGGAAAAGAAAATATATTTACTATGTATTAACAATGTATTAAGTGGATGTGGGTCATCATAAAGGTCCTTATTGTCTTTACATTGAGTAGGCTGAGGAAGAGAAGGAGTTGGTCTTGCTATCTCAGGGGTGGCAGAGACAGAAGAAAATCCACATATCTATTTCATCACATCCTTTATTGTAATTGAGTCTCTGTAGTTATTTGTTAAAACATTCAACAATTGTATTGCATCAGCTCTAAACCCACCCTTCTAAATTCTGCTTTGTGATCTGAGTCTGGGATTCTGTAAACTATTCCTTTTTTTCTGGGTAGTTCTCTGGTTCTGCCCATAGTGGGTGCTAGAGGGAGAATAGCATGCAGAGCCAGGACTGCCTCTCCTGCTCTGAAATGTTCCCATCATTGTCTCCTGAGCAACAGCACTTTCCTCTGTGCAGTGTTGGCTTTTTTTGTCACTTCCAAAATTAGCCTTCAGGTGCCCGCTCTGAGGTACCAGTACCAGCATGGCAGGCCCTCTTCCACAGGGATCTAAGCCCCAGCTCTGCAGGACCCTTCTCCAAGCCTCTAGTTTCTAAAAATCACAAACTTCTCTTCTTCCTTTTGTTCCCCTGGAAGTTTATGATCTCTGGACCTCGATGTCTGCCTGTTGCTTTTTTGAAGCAAAAGTCCAATGGAACTCTTTTTTTTCTTTTTCTTTTTTTTTTTTTTGAGACAGGGTCTTACTCTGTCATGCAGGCTGGAGTGCAGTGGCACTGTAACCTTTGCCTCCTGGGCTCAGGTGATCCTCCCACCTCAGCCACCTGAGTAGCTGGAACCACAGGTGTGAGCCACCACATCCAGCTATTGTCAGGGTCCAACCCACAGACTCTGACCCAGTGACGGATTAACAAATTCACTCAAACACAAATCTCCAGTAAAAGAGTGGGCCAGGGGTCCACGGTCACTCACAGACACTGCTGAGAAAGATAGCAGCCATCGGCTCCAAACAGCTGGCACTCCAGGTATTTATTCAGTATAGATTTAATAACAGAGGCTCTGAGACAACACACTTGTGGATAATGATTAAAGGCCAGGTTCCAAGGCCTAAAGCAAATACCATTTGTGAGTGATATATCTGGTCGCCGTCCCCGCAAGACAGCCATTTGGCCCATGAAAGATTAAAGGTTAGTTTTAGGATCACATGAGTAAACAAGCTATTCAGATAAACTTCCCCAAATTCCCTAGTTATTTGCTTTTCTTTATCAACTAAAGGTAAAGGGAATTAGGCTGCTTTCAGCCGAAACTTCTACTGAAACTATGTAAACCTCTTAGCCTTCCAAGAAGGTTTGTGACTATATTCTATAATTTTACAATCTTTCCAACCATCCTGACCAATCTCCCACAAGGTATTTTTTTTTTTTTTTTTTTTTTTTGTAAAATAAAAATATATTTTGCCATGTTGGCCAGGCTGGTCTTGAACTCCTGAGCTCAAGTGATTTGCCTGCCTTGGCCTCCCAAAGTGCTGAGATTACAGGCATGAGCCATTACATCCAGCCCATAACACATTTCTTATATTAAATTCTCTCTGCTGAAATGACTAGTGTAGTTCCTGTTTCCTGAGTACACCCTAACCAACATGGTACTTGGTGACAAGAGTATTCCCAGGAAATAAACTCTCAGAAACGGGATTTAGGATTGTTTGGTTATATCTTCAACTTTGAAAGCAGTGCTGAACTCTTTGTTAACTGGAAATCAGAGTCTAGTGGTCTGTGTACATGCAGGGCATATGATGAACTAAAGTATCACCTGTCATTGTTTGTGTGAAGTGTCTACTGAAACAAGTGGCTTGAAAGACCAAGTGGCTATGGCACTTGACAGCTATGGTAATAATAAAGACTGTAAGATTGTGGGGTGGATTAGCTGCTTCTGACTACATTAAAATGAATATAGAAAAAAAAAACACAAAATCGGGGTTAGTGGGGCTTTTTTTAAATGGAGTCTTGCAATGTTGTCCAGGCTGGCATCAAACTCCTGGGCTCGAGCAATCCTTCCACCTCAGCCTCCTGAGTAGCTGGGATTACAGGTGTACACCATTGTACCCAGCTTAAAACCAGGGTTTTAAAGGTTCACCTCAGGCCAGGCATGGTGGCTTACACCTGTAATCCCAGCACTTTGGGAGGCCAAGGCAGATAGATTACTTGAGGTCAACAGTTTGAGACCAGACTGGCCAACATGGCGAAACTCTGTTTCTACTAAAAATACAAAAATTATCTAGGTGTGATGGCAGGTGCCTATAATTCCAACTACTCAGGAAGCTGAGGCAAGAGAATTGCTTGAACCTGGGAGGCAGAGGTTGCGGTGAGCCAAGATCAGGCCACTACACTCCAGCCCGGGTGACAGAATGAGGCTCCGTTCCCCTCCCCCCAAAAAAAACAAAAAAGATTCATCTCAAATGAGAAAGAACTAGAGAGGATCCATGGTAGCCCTAAGATAATCTACTATTTTTTTTTATAGCTATAGAGTCAAACTTACAGAAAAACAGATCCAAAATTTAGTCACCTGGGTTGCAAAATGATAACATCAGTTGAATTCACAGACTTGTCATAAGACATAGCATCTTATGTTATACTTAAGACACTGAGGGGGAGTAAACCAGAGATTTGGATTAGGGGCCTCTAGGTATAACTGAACAAATTTGAAAATTTTAAACTCCCAAGTCTCTCCAAGCCTCTCTTGCAAGAAGAAGCAGTCTACCCTCCTGTGTGTCAGAGAAAACAAGGTTTGCTTAAAGATTCTCTATAGCTTATGGACGTTGCCTTGCAAAGAGATGTCTATCCTGCTCAAGACCCTCCCTGACCTCCCCTGAATGACTCTAGACTGATAACTAGAGTCAAATATCAGTATCCTCTAAGAAGATGAATGTTAAGTTTAACCCAGGAAGACATAGATAATATGCTGAATATCCAGATTTTTCTAATATGTAGAGAGATTGGTAAGTATGTAGAGAAAACCTGGAAAGTATGTTAGAAATGAATTTGACAAGTTTTACTCAAAAAGGAAAGACATAAAATTAGATCATATCAAATGTACTCCTAGAAATACATTTACTTACAAGAGATTCTAGGTTTGAAGTGTATAAACTAGCACAGCTGGAAGTGGCTCTAGCAGCCTGCTTGGTTGACTGATTGAACTACGGACTCAACATTCTACAGAGCTGACCTGTTAGAACATTCTTGGCATAGACATGGAGAACTGTACCCATAGATCAGAGGAACAGAATGTAAAGCTCATTTATCATTTGCAACATCCGTATCCATCCCCCATTATATCCTTCTGGAAGGCTAAGAAGGCACTCTGTTCCTTATGCCATGAGAAATGCATTAATGAAGCGAGCACAAGCATCCTTGAAAAGCTCTGTGATAGCGAGATGACAGTAGGAGAGGCTGCCAATGAGACAGTGGAAGTGATGGGACTCAGAAGAGATACAGGCCAAGTGGCAGCACTTAACTAACAGAAACAAGGTAGAGGAAATTACCGTAATGATAGCAGAAAGTACTGGAATATAATCAAAATCTCTTAATCTAGCAGACTATGAATCATGATACATCTAGGAATGAAATAAATGGTCAGCCCACTGAAGTATCACTTGATCGATACAATACTAAGAACTCTAGGTCTGGTGACTAAAAACCTGAATCAAATTACATTAGAGTCTTGGCCTCTTACCAAGTTTCTAAATGTTAGGCATCTTCTGAATCCAGGGTCTCTTGAGTGATAAGGAGGCTAGGTCCTCTTGAGGAGAGACTGTACAAATATGCCAAAGGAATATATCACACATCTTTCCTCCAAGTCATTCCCAAAGGGGCCTGTGGACATTTTTCTAAGGTTACCATATACTAGAGAAAGAACACCCAAGTCTTTTGAGAAATTAGACACTAACCCTAAATTGATGCCATTTCCTGAAGATACATAATAATACTGTGTTCCACCAGTCAAAGTGGTGGCTTATAGTGTTCATGTGATAAATAGTATTTTGGGCCAAGTTCATCTACGTGCCCATTCTATTGTGATTTTCCTGGTTTCTGACTGTATAATTAGAATAGATATGCTTGGCAACAGACAGAATCGCTTCAATCCTTCCTTGCCTGGGGAAGTAAAAACTGTTAGGATAGAAAGTTTGATGTGGAAGCCCTAGAAACTTTTACTTCCTGTAAAAATCATAAACCGAAAGCAAAACTGTATCCCTGGAGTTATCTACAGAGATTCATGCAAAAATCAAAGATGTGAAAGAGACAGGTCTGGTAATTACTATATATTCCCATTTACTTCACCTGTCTGGCCTGTATAGAAGGTAAATAGGTCTTGGAAAATGACTGTCGATAATCATACACTTAATCAAGTGGTAACTCCAACCCCAGTTGCTGTTCTACTATGTTTTCTTTATTGAAGCAAATCAACAGAGTCCCAGCACCTGGCATGTAGCTATTGCTCTGGCAAGTGCTTTTTATTTTCTATTACCAACTTGCGAGGACCACTAGAAGAAATTTCGTTTCTTTGGGGCACCTTATAATTTTATCTTGGGGCTATGCCAATTTTCCTGCTGTCAGCATTTTTTTTTTTTTTTTGAGACAGGCTAGAGTAGAGTTACATGATCTCGACTCACTGCAACCTCTGCCTCCCAGGTTCAAGCAATTCTCCTGCCTCAGCCTCCCAAGTAGCTGAGTCTACAGGCATGAGCCACCATGCCTGGCTAATTTTTGTATTTTTAGTAGAGACAGGGTTTGACTATATTGGCCAGACTGGTCTCAAACTCCTGACCTCAAGTGATCCACCTGCCTTGGCCTCCCAGAGTGCTGGGATTACAGGCGTGAACAACCGCACCTGGCCTACTGCTGTCAGCTTTAATCTCATCTGCAGAAATTTAAATCATCTTGACACTCTACAGAACGTCACAATGATCTGCTATAGTATGCTAATTTGACCTAATAAGCATAATGAAGGCATTACTCTGATTTGACTCAATAAGCAGAAAGTAGCAAGCACCTTAGATGTCTTATAAGGCACATTAGAGACAGAGGGTTGAAGAAAACCTCCATGAGTATTCCAAGGCCTACGCTGAATTTCTAGGGATTCAGTGGTTTGGAACATATCAGGGTATCTCCTCCAAAATGAAATACAAATTACTACACCTTGTATTACCATGTCTAAAAAGAAGACATGATGATTTGGGGCCCTTCTTGAATTTTTGGAGATAATATACTAGTCCAACCAATTTTCCCAGTTGCCTATAAGGCTGTTGATTCTAAGTGAAGAGTAGAGCAAAAGAAGGTTATTGTTAGGCGCGTCGCTTGTGTAAAGAGACCACCAGGCAGGCTTTGTGTGGGCAACATGACTGTTTTATTTCGTGCTTGGGTGCAAGTGGGCCAAGTACAAGAAAGGAGTTAGACAAGAGATGTAGGAATGGGGACTGGTTATATAGGTTGGGGCAAATGGTCAGTTAAAGGTAGTTATCAATTTTAGGGAGGGGGAGGGCGTCACAGGATGCATGGTCACAAGGGTAGGGGTTATCTACTACAAACAGGCATGGTCATAAGGGTGGGGGTTATCAGTTGTAAGTCGAGGGGAGGGTGCAGTAAATTACACAGTTACAGGGGTGGGGGTCTTGAGAAACCTAGGGGGAAATTTCACAAGGTTGAGGAGGAACAATGGTTGAATGTGGCAGAGTGGCAGGGCGGGGAGAGCAATTAGTTGAGGCAGGAACCAGTTGTTTCACTTCTCTTTGTGGCCATCTGGTTACTTCAGACTTTCTGGCTCCTGGAGACCATCAGGAGGTATACATTCAGGTCTCCAAGGCTATAATGGCCAGGCTGGGACTTGGAGGCCTGACAGTTATGTAGTAGATCCAGAATGTAATAATGCAGGCTGTCTTGTCCATTGGGCTTTATGACTCAACAGATCCAGTGATGCTCAGTGTTTGTGGCATATAGGGATGTTATATGGAGTCTCTGGCAAACCCCAGTAGAAGGGTCCACAGGTCTCTGAAGCAAAGTCAAGCCTGTTGGGTATCAGCCCAACCCCGTACATGGATGCCCTTAGTCCCGACGGTGACAAGGAATTGAGAAAAGGAAATAAAGACAGAGACACAAGAGCAGAATTTACAGCATGGGTCTAGGGGACCAATGCAAGTGTGGGAACTGCCTTGGCCCCGAGCTCTGGGCTCCAAACACTTTTATTATGTGCATAATCTCATTGATCTTATGTGCATGGAAGGGGAGGGTGAAGGGGTAGGTAAGATGGTGGGGAACTTAAGATCCTTCTAAGACATGCTAAACTAGTGCTCTGAGCATTTAACAGAACTTGAGACCCTTCTAAGACATGCTAAACTAGTACTGAGTTTATTACCAATTGCTATCAGAGTGGCAGCTGCATCAGAAGTATAGCAGATGAGGAGTCACCCAATCTGACGACACCCAGTGCATGAAGAGGCTTTTATCTCCTGATTATTGAGGACACAGAGCAACTGAAATTACTCTATATTCTGAGAACCTAGGCAGAGCCTGAGGCGTTCTATGATCTCTGCCCCCTGCAAGGCTTTTCTCCTCCTTGCCTGCTCCCATCTGCAAAGACCCTGCCAGATCTTGTGAGCAGAGGTTGCCTCCCTTCTCAAAGATCGTTGCATAAGCCCTCTTTAGGAGACCCTCATGCAGTCTCCATGTTAAGAAGGCATTCGTGGGACCAAAGCAGTATTGCCTTCTCTACAACCACCCTGGTGTTCCCCGGTGTTACTGCGCTCTCGGATGGTCTTTACCTTAGGCCTCCTGTTGCCACTTGATTTCTAATTAACTGCACCAATAATATGGTTTAGTTCAGTGTATAAACTTCAGTGTACTCTGAGCCAAGCAAGCTTATAATTATTTGGCTAGAATTAACACAGGTCGCCCCCTCACCATCTTGACCCACACACGTCTTCTTCTATGATAAAGATCCCTATTTTAAGGAAAAGCTCCTGTATTACTACTGGGTCTAACTATGGGACATTAAGTAATCATGCAACCCGAGCTGCCATCATGAACACTGGTATCTGACCCACCAAAGCATAATGTTCAGTATGGATAACAGCCATACTTCATTCAGTGGAAATAACATATAAGAAATTAGGCTCAAGGAGGTTCAGAATGTACAAGTTGCATGAGCAAGTGACTCAAAATCTTATAACACTTATTCCTGAGGCCTTTGCTGCCTCTCCTTCAGTCTGTACCTATGGTCTCTTCTTACCAGCTAAGGGGAAAAAAACCTAAGGCCTGGTTTATAGATTCTACTTCATGACATACTGGCACCAACCAGAAGAGGACTACTGCAACATTTCAGCTCCAAGGAGTGTTTTTAAAAAACAGCAGAGAAATAATATCCTTCCAGTGGGCAAAAAAATCAAACAGTACATTTGGTTGCTTTGCTTTTTCTGGGCCAAGAGATGGTCACAGATATAGAGCTATACTGATTGATGAAGAGTATGAAGTAAGACTGGAATGTCTTCTGCACAAAGCAAGAACATGCTCAAAGGATGGTGACATGTTAAAAAAAAAAAAAAAAAAGAATAGAATCCAGCCTGGAGGGACTCCCACTGGCTAAAATTTGAGTATCCAATAATAATATGAAGACAAAAAAGAGGAAGTGCATAGTGGCTCACGCCTGGAATCCCAGCACTTTGAGAGGCTGAGGAAGGCAGATCACTTGAGGTCAGGAGTTTGGGACCAGCCTGGACAATATGGTGAAATCCCATCTCTACTAAAAATACAAAAAAATTAGCCAGATGGGGTGACACATACCTGTAATTCCAGCTACTTGGGAGGCTGAGGCAGGTGAATCACTTGAACCTGGGAGGCAGAGGTTGCAGTGAGCTGAGATCGTGCCATTGCACGCCAGCCTGGCTGACACAGAGAGAGTCCATCTCAACAACAAAAAGACAAAGAAGAAAAAATAATAGTAATAGTTTATAACCTCTTGATTTAAAAAAGAAACAACTTTAAGTCCATAGTGATATAATTAAATTGAAAGTTTGACAATGAACAGGATACTTACATACATGGGAAAAGAGTAATTTATCAGTGGAGAAGTCTCACAATCTCCACTTTAACCAAGAGACCAAAGCAAACAAATTTAAAATATGTGCCACTTGTTGGGATGCACAGGAGGAAAATGTCACTCTCTGATAGGCCTTCCAGGAATGCACATCTGAATCTAATCATGAGAAAAAAACTAGGAACCTAAATTATAGGCCATTTCACAAAATAACTGGCTTGTAATCTTCAAAAATGTCAAGTCATGAAAGTCAAGGAAAGACCAAGAAACCGTTCCAGATTGAAGGAAGCTAAAGAGGCATGACAACTAAATATACCATGGGATTCTGAACTGGATCCTTTTACTATAAAGGTATTGAAATAACTGGTGAAATCTGAAGTGGGGTCTCCCAGATCAGATAACAATTTCAACCTTGATATTAGTTTCAATATAGAGATTCTGGTTATTGTAGTGGGTTGCGGCCCTGGAAAGATATATCTACATTTTAATCCCTGAATCCTGTGAAGGTGAGGGCATTTGAAAAAAGCATCTTTGCAGATGTAATTAACTTAAGAATCTTGAGATGAGATCATTCTGGATTATCTAGATGAGCCATAAATCCAACAAGTGTCCTTATAAGAGATACACAGAGAAGACACAAGAGAATGCCATGTGAAGAGCGGCGCAGAAATTAGAGCGATGAAGCCACAAGCCCAGGAGCACCTGAAGCTACCAAAAGCTGGAAGAGGCAAGAAAAGATCCTCCCCAGTGCCTTGGGGCTTAGGGGAAGCACAGACCTGCTGACACCTTGATTTCAGATTTCTGGCTCCAGACTATGAGAAAATGAATTTCTGTGGTTTTAAGCCATCATGTTTGTGGTAATTTGTTATGACTGCCCCAGGAAACGAATATAGTTGCATTGTGGTTATGTCAAAGAATGCTCTTGTTTGCAGGAAACACACACTAAAGTACATAGGAGTGATGGACACAATGTCAGTAGCTTACCCTCAAATAGTTCAGGTGTTTTGAACTGTATTTGCATCTCTATTATAATTTTTTAATTGTTTCAAAAAATTTTAAACTATTTAAAAAAATTACTAGACCAGTTGCCAGATCATGGAGGGTTAGCAAGATTGCAATTTCCCAAGACCACTCCAAGCCATGCCTTGGTGATGGCCCAGACTCCAGAGGATATGGGAATCACAGAGCACAAATATAAAGAGTAATAAATAAAGTGTTGGAGTTTGCCTTCCAATACGTGCCTGCAATTTAGCTTATGCAAAAATTAGTTCAAGTCACCCTAAGAAACCTCCTCTTGAGGGAGACAATGTTAAGACTAGCGATCCAGTGTCCCCCCAAGACATTCTTTACCAGATATCACGTTTGGCAGGCAATTCTTCATGGCATTTCAACTCACTCTGAAACTACCTTTACAAGGGTGTGTGTAGCATAGTGTCTCTTTCCAGGTCAGAGGGCTGATGTGTTTCCTGACCAGAATAGTGGAGATAGAGACACCCAGAGACATTCCAGGATAGAAAAGTTTCCCTCTCCTCAGGAAAGATTTGCTTACATCCAGAATACTAAAGATAATGTCTCTCTCCAGAGAGGAGGATGGGCAGGTTTGCAAGCAGCCCCCTTATAAGATTGGAAGATTCCTATGCTTAGTGTTTCTCAGTTGTGACACAAACTTGTGTATGTGGCATCTACCTGAGGTTGATCCACACTTACCCCTATGGTACTTGAGTGCACAGGAACTAATGGAAACATGAAGCCTGTCTTAGTCTGTTTCGTGTTGCTAAAACAGAATACCACAGACTGAGTAATTTAATTAAAAGAAGTTTATTTCTCATAGTTCTGGAGGCTGGGAAGTTTAATATCAAGGTAACAGCATGTGGTGAGGGTCTTCTTGCTGTATCATCTCATGACAGAAGGTGGGAGGGCAAGAGAGTATGAGAGTGTGAGGGAAAGGGCTGAACTCCAACTCCCTCTTTGTTGTTTGTTTTGTTTGTTTTGTTTTTAGAAACAGAGTCTCACTCTGTCACCCAGGCTGGAGTGCAGTGGCATGATCTTGGCTCACTGCAACCTCCGCCTCCCAGGTCAACCAATTCTCCTGTCTCAGCCTCCTGAGTAGCTGGGAAACCACAGGTGCACACCACCACACCAAGCTAATTTTTGCATTTTTAGTGAGACAGGGTTTCACCATGTTGGCCAGGCTGGTCTCAAACTCCTGGCCTCAGTGATCCACCCAACTCAGCCTCCCAAAGTGCTGGGATTACATGCGTGAGCCACTGCACCTGGCCTGAACTCTCTTTTATAATAAGCCCACTTTGATAATAACCCACTTCTGCAACAATGATGTTAATCCGTTCATGAGAACAGAGCCCTCATGACATAATAATCTCTTGCTGGGCTCCACCTCCCAATACTGTTGCATTGGGGATTAAGTTTGCAACACATGAACTTGTGGGGGACACATGCAATCCAGAGCAAAGCTCATATTCCTGCTGTGCCCCAAGTAATAAAGTTTCTAATTGCCCCTCGGACTTGTTTGCTTCTCAGCCAAATCTATGGACCTATGATGAGCAAACCTATCAGCCTCCCACTACCCTGCTGCTTAGGAACCGCTTGACTTCTTGACCATTACAAGATGAAAAAGTCAAATCCCTTTATTTATTAAGCCATATGCAGAACCTAGATTGTTACCTGACAGATAACTGCTTAACAGCTCCAAACTACAGATTGAACTCCTCACTTTAAAAGGGACCTTTCTCAAGAAGATCAGTTTCACAGTTAGGGTCGGTGCTGCTAGTAGCAGACCTACTACTCCTGTTACCTGTACCATGGCTCCTTAAACAGCGTCAGCATCAATTTCAAAGTTCACAGTGTAGATTTCACTTTCATAGTCCATGCCTGTCAAGGCACTTCCTGCAACAATGGCAGTCCAAAACTGTTCTCATTAAGCCACCCAATATTGGGGCCTAAAAATTCTTGTCACCATCAACATAGTTTGAGGATAAAATGCAATGAATGATTCAAAGCCATTTGAAAAGAAAATACAATAAAACACAATGATAACTACTCTATCACATGTAAAAACTATGATCTAGCCTTGATTCATTTCAGGGTAATAAAATGAAGCATTCTAAATCTTCTCAAGTTGTATCTTAGAAAACCTAAACATAACTGCCAAAACCTATGACGCTGGTTTTATAGGGTATGAGTGGAAAAAAACGGAAGGAATAATGGAAGGAAAAATCACACTTCCCTAAATACAATTTTACCATTTTGTATAGGTCTATATTATTCAATATTCAATTAGGGATTCAGAATCATTAGGACCACACACATACATTGCATGTGTGGATTTATTACTGGGATTTGACCTTATGTAGTAATAGGAGCTGATAAAGTCTAGAAGGGTTGCCTTCATATCTAAGCTGCAGCTTGAAGTCTACAGGGCAGGCAGTTGGGAAGAAGGCTGTCAGGCGGTGCAAAGTAACAAAAACAAGATGGAACCCATGATCATTGACTGGTACCCATGTCAGGCTCTGTCTCACTTCTCCAAACTTCATGATGTGGGTATCCTGCAGGAGAACCTGGTGCCCTTTGTCATAAAGACAAACCCACATCTGGATGAGGATACACAGTCAGATGAGGAGTCAGTGAAGCTGAAGGAAGATTCAGGGAAAGATGGAACAGCTGCAGCCTGGTTGCTGCCTCATACCAAGGAGAGAAGCCAGCAGCTAAAATAACAATATGCATGGGTCACAAAAGCACCTGGAGACCCTTCTCCAGCCTCTGAGCACAAAAAAATCAATACTCTTGATATAGCTGCTCCTCCACTCCATTCTCCAAATCTCACACAAATATGTCTCTTGTGCACATCCTTAACTGGAAACATAGGAAAGGGAATTATGGGAAATGTAGTTCAGCCTAACCAGACCAACACATTATAAAACCTCCCCAATCCATCTTTTGTCATCTTGGCACATATCACTTTAAATCACAATTTCCCTATAAAGACAATACAAAATTTAGACTTCTACTCAACTGAGTACAACTATCTTGTGCACAATTAACAATATACCAACTGTTGTTCCAAAGAGGCTATAAAATCTCTCTTTTTGTCTTTGGGTGTTCTTTGAGCTAATTCATACTCTCCCTTTGATATACTGTAGTTTAAATACTGAGAAGATAGGGAAATAAGAGTGGGAAGAAAACAAGTTTTTGAAAAAAAAAATACAATGACAACTACTCTACCACATGTAAAAACTATGGTCTAGCCTTAATGCATTTCAGGGTAATGAAATGGAGCAATCAAGATCATCTCAAGTTTCTACATACAAACAGGCCAAGCATGGTGGCTCATGTCTGTAATATCAGCACTTTGGGAGGGTAGGTGGGAGGATCACTTGAGCCCAGGAGTTCAAAACCAGCCAGGGCAACATAGTGAGATACTATCTCTACAAAAAATTAAAAAATATGTATATATACAAACATATCCATATCAAAATATGGAAGAAATATTCACAACTGCACTAGCTCTCATTTCTACAACTGGTCATGTGGTCATATACCACATGGTATATATCACCTTCTTCCACTCATTCCACACCCCTTTGCCCTCAGCAAGTACCTCAGCAGGTGGTGGTTTCTTTGACCCAATCCATTAGGAGAAAAGCCTGAATTGCATTATTACCATAAAAGGAACATACAGGGCTGGGCGCGGTGGCTCAAGACTGTAATCCCAGCACTTTGGGAGGCCGAGGCGGGTGAATCACGAGGTCAACAGATCGGGACCATCCTGGTCAACATGGTGAAACCCCGTCTCTACTAAAAATACAAAAAATTAGCTGGGCATGGTGGCGCGTGCCTGTAATCCCAGCTACT